TGCGAACTCGACACCGATATATAATTCAATGGGGGGGCTACTGCCAAAGTTTGAATCGGTCACCTCGTGACCATTTTCAAAGCATTCACTCTTTGCAACCACGCGCCTGCCACAACTTCCACTGATATGGAACCCGTGTGAAGCACCCTGGCAAGCCAACGTCAAGGCACCACCACGCAAATCCAGCAGAATATGAGAAACTCAGAATTGTTGTAGTAATTAAGCTTGCACGTGTTGGCAACATCTGCTTACCCCTCCTCATCATCCTCCTGCCCCTGCTCTTTCGCCTGCTCCTCGTCCTCCTCATCATGACATGCATTCACCCTCCTCCTGCTCATCATTCTCCATCCTCCTCCTCTTCCAACTCCTGGTCATCCTCCTCCTCCTCACCATCATCATCAGCAGCAGCAGAAGCACCACCACCATCCTCCCCCGACAGGTACGGCCGCCAGTCCTTCGATGCCTGAGCCTCGGCAGCGCTCGTGTCAGCGACCACCCGCATGAAGTCGGTCTCGATCACCTGCACCATGGTGTGGATGAGGAGGTCAGACCGGGGTAAGACGAGCAGGAGCGGTAATCAGAAGAGATAGAGAAGTAAAAGATGAGCTGGGACGAGGACTGCGTTTGGACACGTCTGCGCTTGAGCACTTCTCCCGTACTCACAAGATCAATAGTTTCTCTCCCTAGGCCTCAGTCTCGGTCTGTCCCATGGTCTCTCTAGAACAGATAGGAGGGGTAGGAGCAGGGAGGAGGAGGAGGAGGAGGAGCAGCAAAGGGGGAGGGGGGGATGCGGAGAAGGAGGAAGGATCGCGGGCGGAGGGCAGAGGAACGAGGGCGAAAGTTGGAGGGCAGAGGAAAAGAAAGGGGGGGGGAGAGGGGAGGGCGGTAAGCCGGGTGCGCTCGCGCCGTATCTGACCTCCGATCCCTCCCGCCCATCCCTTCCCATTGATTGTGCTGATCTGCTCCCCATCCGCCGACAGGTGTCATAGCGGACCCGAGGCCCCCTGCAGGGACCCCACTGTACCATGCACAATGACAACATGGGGAGCTGCGTACAGTGGAAGACGAGGGGGCGGATGGGCAGGAGCATGAACAGGAGATAGGGGAGGAGGAGGAGGAGGAGGAGGAGGAGGAGGAGGAGGAGGAGGAGGAGAAGGACGGCGAGCAGGAACAGCAGGAGCAGGAGCATCAGTGGAAGAAGCGGGTAAAGCAGGAGAATCGGGGGAAGGCGGGGCCACCCCGATCCAGAAAGGTGGCCCGCGCCGGGGCGAGCGCCATTCTGAGCGACGGGAGCAAAGCGCCGAAGGCGGAGAGAGGAGGGCGGAGAGAGAACCGAGGAGGGAAAACGGAGGGAGTAGGGAAGGGGAGGGAGGGAGCGCGGAGGAATCAGAGGGGAGGGAAGGGTGGCCAGCAGGAGAATGGCACCGCACGAGACGGCGACGGCTACTCTATCATCGAGCGAGCGCGCCGCCAGAACAGCGCTGGCCATCGGGAGATGTGGCTGCACCGCCAGGAAGCCCAAGGGACGCCACTGGAATGCCGACCGGCTGGCCCTCTGTGCCTGAGGTGGTCAAGACCGCCTCCCCTTCCGGCCCCCCAATTCCTCCCTTTCGGAACTACCATGGGTTGGGACGGGCCACGCCCGCTGCCGCTTGAAGCGGTTTCGAACGCCACCTCTTCGAACCCCCCATTTCTCCTCCGGACCCCTCCTGGGTCTGGACTTGTCTGTCTTCTTCCACTACTATAAACACAGCAGGTCTACAAGTACTACGATTACAGCTATGACTACGGCCTGCGGACACGAACACTAGCACTACTATTGATGCAACTGCGACGACAACGAAAACGAGGAATAGCACAGCTACGACAACGCCTACGATAACAGATACGACTGCTACTACCCCGGCGGCGACAACTACTACAAGTACTGGCTCTACACCTTGCACGACACATGCTACAACCACAACGATTAATACGACTACCACTACTTTACGATTACTGCTACTACTACGACTACCACTACTACTACTACTACTACTACTACGACTACTACTACTACTACTACTACTACTACTACTACTACTACTACTACTACTACTACTACTACTACTACTACTACTGGCGGTCTCGTGCACCACATCACCACGGCTCAACCACCTAGGGAAGAGCGTCCTTGTGGCTGCCTCATTGCCAGTATGTAGCGCGCACCTCTTCTGGGTGAAAGGGCGGGTCTGACATGCTTGCAGCGTCAGGCGCTTGTACTGTGGGCAGCTGGACCAACAGCCCACAGTGAAGAGCCAGCAACGGCACAGCAGCACACGGGGCGACCCCAGTACCGCCACCCAGGCCAACTAGCGCGAGAAGACGCGAGGCAAGGCATGGATGGCAAGCCAAGGGCGGGTCTGACGCGCATGCAGCAGCAGGCGCCAGGCCGAGGGCAGCTGGTCCCTACAGCAAAAAGTAAGGCGCCGGCGGCGGCATAGCAGCACACGGGGCGACC